TCTAACCAAAAAAAAAACCGCAATCCCTTGGATACCGAACTCAGAAAAGAATATCATGTTCAAAATAGAACCTTTAAAAAACTTATCAAACAAAAAAAAACAACAACAATTTGTTGACTCTAAAATAAATGAGTTGATTAGTAATGAAAATGACCGCACATTTTGGGATACTCTAAAGTCAATGAACGAAAACGGCTTGTCTTATAATAATATAACGAAAACCCGACCAATAAACTTTACGATCATTTTAAAACGATACACTCAGCACCTGATCCCAATACATTATCGGCATTTCAAATACACATGTTAAACGATAAAAAGCATTTGGAGGACAGCAACCATTTACAATCTGGATTCAGCTTGAAAATCAACCCCCTGACACAAAACCCTTCTACTTTCCTATCCAAAGCTGAGAAGAATTATTTGTCAAAACATCTGAAAAACCACCAGCTAAATTTGATAAGAACAAATAAAAAACTAAAATTCTACTCCGTCTTTAAAAATGAAACAAATCACTCTGAATTCATCAATCATATCCGGAATCCTGAACATAGGCGTGTAGCTTCCAAATTTAGGATAGGAAATCACAATTTAAAAATAGAAACCGGAAGACTTATAATCCCCAAAACTCCTGAAGACCTTAGAATCTGTGATCATTGCCACCAAAATTCGGTTGAAAATGAACTGCACATATATTATTTCACTGTGATCAATACCATGATTTGAGAAAGACTCTTTTTCTTAAAATCAACGACCGAAATACACTATTTACACATTACAATATCCATGATAAAGTCTGTTTTCTTTTTAACAATACTGATTCACATATCAGCAGGCTAGCTGCTAATTTGGTCTTTCAAGCATTTGAAAGACGAAAAGAAACATAGTTAATTCTACCGTTCCATCATATCTGCATTCCCTTAAACTTAGCTGTTTATTACTGTTATTTTAATCGGTAACACCTGTACAAAATGGTAATACTGGCTAAACTTGTTGTTGTTGTTGTTGTATTCAAATGATAACAACTCCTCAACAGATATGAAAAATGTCCAATTAACTATACGTGAAGAACTGACTTCACACCAATATAATCTAATACGAAGTAACAAGAAACTAAAATTTTACTCAGTATTCAAAATTGACTGTCACAAAAGTGCATGATTGCTTGAGCATAATCAACATAAGTCCCCCAGTACCGAAAACTCTAGAAAATTTTCGCATTTGCCCTTCCATAGTCTTCGATCTAACTTTTACCGAGACATTAGGATTGGACATCCCCTTTTTAAGAATTTTGACAACAATGAAGAAACCCTCTTCGTATTTGACAATGTCGATCCTGATATCTGCAGACTTTCATCTCCTTACATGCAGTCATGTATGGAATGTAGACAAAAACTTGTTCTTTCATATCATAGCCTTTGTTTTGATTTCAGATTTGTAACGAATAATGTAGGTAATACCATGCACTCACGTGGGAATACTGAAATAAAGCTGTTGTTGTTGTCGTTGTTTCTGATGAGTTGAATTCACTTGTCAATGTCCGAAGAAGGAGAAGAAATTATCCACCACACCTTGGATTACTGACGAGATCTTAGCTAAAATCAACTACGCACCCACCAAGACAAACTCAAGACCCAAAGGTGCTTATTTTGACCCAGAATTTCTTCCCCCCACCCCGCCGCCAAATCAAGGAAAACGAGACACGAATACTGCAGCTAAAATGGCGGCGGCTATCATCACACGCGGGCCAATTCGATCAGCCACCCGCTAACTCAGTTATCATGGTAACTTACCCCGCCGTAGAGGACATGTTTCTCCTAAGCTTTTCTTTTGTCAAATTCGTATGGAGGCGACTGATGATATTTCCAATTCAAGCGAAGTTGGATTCCGCAGTTTTGTCTCTTACTGCGTCGACTCTGGTGGAGCCCAGGCCCTCTCTATTGAAGGGCGCGCAAAATAATTGTCCGTCTCAGTTCTAAATAGCGTAAAACGGCGTAATCCGAGATTTGTTCGGATCGTGTTTTCTTAAGAAATTTTTTCACTTTTTCAGTGTTCTTGTTCTGTATAAAAGTACTCTTTAGAGCGTAGAAATCAGTGCATACTTTTTGTTTGTTATACTCCTCCCATATTAGTTGTTGGGACAAGGGCCTCGGAAGCAGGTGGAGGTGGGGGGGGGGGGGTTTGAGGGGAAAGGGACGTGATTCGCTGGCCAACCTCTACCACACTTGAACGAAGCTTAGCCACTCTAAGGCCTTTTTGGTAATTCAGAAGTTAAGTCAATTTTGGAGACCACAGAAAAGACATCCATTTGTTACAGAGCCTCTTCTGTTGTAGGGTACCTTTTTCCAAAATCAGACAGAATTAATTATTAATTTAACCCTAACAGATAAGCAATGATGTGTGTACTGCTTCAATATTCACTGCAGCAGATAGGTGGCCATTAGAGAAAGTGGATGAGTATTCATTGGTGCAGTTAGCTGCATGGTCGTTTGGGAAATTACCACGTACTGATTCACCCTAACAGATAAGCAATGATTTGTGTACTGCTTCAATATTCACGGCAGCAGATAGCTGGCTCTTAGAGAAAGCTGTTGAGTACATTCATATTGGTGCAGTTACCTTGTCATTGGGAAATTACCACATATTATTCACTGTAGCTGGATAAGTAATGATTTGTGTACCGCTTGAATACTTACTGCAGCAGATAGCTGGCCAGTGGAGAAAGTCATTTGCGAAATTACCACATATTAATTTTCTGTCTGATTTTAGAAAAGGGCACCTTTCTCACAGTCCCAACTATTGGCTAGAGTAGCTATCTAACGTTCCGTTATACAGTAGTGGTCATGCACGCAAGCATTGAAGTCATTGCACGCTGTTAGTTTATTGTTTTTCTGCTCCGGCCCATATAAGCTGTTACGACAAGGGCCTCGGATGCAGGGGTGAGGGGAATAGGGGGAGAAGGGGTGTGGCTCATTAGCCAATTTCTACCATACTTGAAAGAAGCTTGGCCACTCTAAGGCCTTTTTGGTAATTTAGAAGTTAAGTCAATATTGAAACCACAGAAAAGACACACATTTGTTACAGACCCTCTTCTGTTGTAGGGTACCTTTTTCCAAAATCAGACAGATATATATATATATATATGGCTAAAATATGATATGTGAGAGGAGAACCGACAAGAAAGTTTAATCGTTTATGTTCGTTTGTTTTGCGGTAATTCATAGCTAATTACGCAATAAAAGGTACGATGTTTTTAACCGCAGAATCTGGTTTCTAGGAATAACTTTCTTACTCTCTTGTCAGTACTTTCCTCAATAATAAATACAGCGAGCGGAATATTATTTTAAACAAGCAAAGCCGAAATAAAAGATAAATACTGAATTAAATGTAAGTTGAGCTACGATGAAAAGGCGACAGCAAAAGGCCTCCGAACGTGTGAGCTTAATCGTCCCCTTGGACTTCACGGTGTCACGTAAATTGCTCATATTCAATCTATTGTTTTAAAATTGATAAGCTCGGTTTGCTTTGACTATTGCCTTGAAGTAGCTAATGGTTTTATGAGTAAATATGTTTGTATTTTTTTGTGGTTTTCATTTGTAAATTTTTGTATTTTTTTGTATTTTGTTTTTTAAACCCCTCAAATTTTAACTTGAGTAAATATGGCCAATAAATTAGCAGCTTAGTACTTATAATAACTGGGGTAAAGAATATAACTCCCGATAAATAGTTGATGGAATTGACGATAGCCTCAAAGCCATCTAAAACATGACAAAAACACGAGCAAAGCGGCTTACATTGATTTGAATCTACATTAGGACCCCGGTTTAACTCGAAATTGGATGACTCGAACTAAGTCCCATTTCCCTAGGATTTGATCCTACTTTTCAGCCACGTTTACTCGGATAACTCGAATTCCCCGCTAACTCCGGAACTAAATTTCGTTTCCCTTGATCCGAATTCCCTTCGTTAACTCGAATTCTGGTTCATAGAACTCACCACGAATGCCATCCTATTAGCTTTTCCTTGTCTTGTAAACTGAGGAACAACCCCTAAAACCAACGCTACGGCGATTTGTTTTTTACTGCTTCTTAATAAGGGCAACGAACACGTCATGTATTTGACAGTCGTTTCCCGGTATTCACCATGAAAACGCATAATCGTGTTAAAATTTCTGATGAGATAAGTTAAATGTGCCCTCTGCTATATACTATTAAAAATGCTGAAATATCAATAAACTATCACTATTACCAAGGGGAATTGAAGATACAATCGACCCCGATAACTCAAACGCCCGCTCGAACTGTTTTTAACCTCGGCAGATCAGGCCCGATTTGAGTAGTTCCTATACAATCTCTCCTACGAAGTCGCGCTAAAATTCGTTTCGCCTTACCCGCCGGAATGTTATTTACAAAGAGAAACGAAAATAGAGCCGGGCCTCAGGTTAACTGTTTTTAGTCTCCCTTCTCAGAGTTGGAGGTACCGGGGTTCTACTGTATAGGTGAATCCTTGTTGACATTTTTTGCCTCATTAGCGTAGGCTCATCATCATCTGATGAAGCTAATAACATGAAATTTCTGAATATTGAAAGATCATAACATTTTCAGTTATCTCTGAAAAAGTGAACTCGATATACCAGATAATTTCAAGGAAATTCTCTTTAAAAAAGCCCAAAATTTACAAAGAATGTATGAGCTCATCAAGTAATTTTGCAGTTTTTAACCGCTGCTATTTTCTTTTTTTTTACTGATTGCAAAGAGCTGAAACGTGCGCAGACTCTATTAATTTACCAGCTCTTTTAATTTTTGAACCTAATTGGTATATACGGCTACATCTTCCTTCATCTTCTATGGGTTAACTCGTATGCTAATGAGGTAAAATGTAAACAATGACGTCACAATGAATCCGCCTTTTCAGTCCCCACACAAAAAACCTTTCACTAAACTATACGTTTTGTCCTCGACATAAAAAGTGCGAAAAATGGCTTAATTAACTGAAGGACTTTACAAAGACGTTTCGTATGTCATTTTTGGAACTTCATGAACTGAAATTTTGGTAAAGATGGATTCTTTCCCGCTTTCTCCAGTCTGGGTTTGTTTTTCGCTCTTGTTTCCAGGTGTTTCCTCTTGATCAGAATTCCTTTCACCCGTCAGGGGTTGAGCTTCTTCCAAACTAAAGTTCATAGCACCAGTATCTTGGAAAGAGGTTGAAATTGACGGCATGTTCACTTTTCCTGTTTGCAGTTGGTTCTTAAAAACATTCCTTCCAGCAAATCCACGTACTTCTCCTTGCAGTTCATTCAGAGGCAGCATCAAGGCCAGACAGCAAGAGAAAGACCATTTGGGTTTCTTGAGCCATTCTTTGATAAAGCGATAGATGTATACAAGATACTGAACTGCAAAGAAACAATAGTCATAGTTACGTATATTTAGGACTGTCTGAAGTCACCTCTTTCTTTCAAGAACACCTTCTTAAAACATATACGCGTTGACTTGACGTTTTATGAGGCGGAGTCCCCTATTGTACTGTCTTAACTCTTCTCTATGAATATGTTAGCTCTAATGTCAAGTCTTGTAGATTACTTACTCATTGACTGACTGACTTACGGAGCAATACTTACATATATACGCACTTACTTACTTACTTACTTACTTACTTACTTACATACTTTTAATTAACACTTATAACAATTACAGTTAGAATGGCAATTGAAGCTTAACCGATTTACATCGTGAACTTTTACTCAAATCTTTCAAACTGGAAACCAGATTCATCAATATTCAACAAGATACTCTGACTTTTACCGACCTCACACCTGTAGAACAAATATTAAAAAATTTTCGATCCTGTTTCAAGGTCCTAGAATATGGAATTCATTACCAAACGACATCAAAAATGCCCTGTCTTTTAGTATATTCAAGCGTGTGATCAAACCATTTTTAAGGGTCAGACAGAATGCAACCTAAATACCTTAACACCTCATATCTATATTTTCCTCTAAACACACTTATATAATTAAATAAACGACTTTTTTCTTTATTTCTTAAAATGCCGCCTAGTATTTAAATTGCCCGTGGGGGGAAATCTCTATTCCTCATAAGCCCGGCTTCTCGGAGATTTCCCCGCCACAGTCACTCCTCCCAAGTAATGCACAAATTTTAAATTTAATGTTAGTTAACCTATTTATTATCGTTTTTATTCTGCTTGTAATTCATTGTGTGTGGCAAAATAATAATAAAATAAAATAACTAAATTTTGGCCGAAAACCAAAAGCAAGCACTGAGCTGGCATCGCCCTACTTGTGATTGGGGGGCTTAAGCAACGACGACTAGTCGACGACGACGGCAGTGACGACGTTGCCAAGAAAAATAATTTATGTCCTTTCAAACTTTGTCGCGTCTATTTGGATCCCCTCAATTTGTCAAATGTAGGCAACCTTTCTGTTTTTTTTTTGACGTTGTTGTTTTCGTCGTCGTGGTTGCTTAGGCTTCCTGTTCACGTTTCATTTGAATTGTAAATATCATCCCCGAAGAATAATTAATAATATGCAAATGAGTTTATATAATAGGAAATACTGGTACATTTTTTCCTATTCACTTCACTTTGCCGACACGAAGGGCGATTGGCAACTGAGTGAGTAAGTCGGGTTCCAGATTACCTACATTCAATTCAGTCTATCTTGGGCTTGTCCCAGGTAAGATTGATTCCGCATACCTTACTATAATTAGTAACAATACCCAGGGTTGAATATTATACTATTGAAGGGTAAATTAATAACCGAAGTAGTTTTACACTTAACTTACCTACGAGAAGACCGATTACCAAAGAATTTGCTCCAAACACCAGTACCTTGAACATGATGTTATCCACATAAGGATCGATTGAGGCTGAAATGTTCTCGCTGTTTATCTTACTCACAGCTCCTATTCCCAAGTTTACAAAGGTCACAGCAAGAGATATCAGCATTAGTCTGTTCTCGAATGGGTCCACAATGGGGCTGACATAGGCAAAAAACATTCCATGGAGTCCTGACATGACGCACGCCAGTCCGACATATGCCCTGCTTTCACCACCAACCAAGATCAGACCTGACGTGAGGACCACCTTCCGTACTGTGTCTACCAGTTCCCAGTACCACGAGCGCGGATGGTAGTTTTCGAAAAGGAATCGCAAGCCTGTGGTGACTTCGCTGCTTTTCACTTTGATATCAGGATTTTGATGCTCGTCTTCCATTTCATTCTGACTTGCAACGGTCAATCGCGCTTTCCAGAGAGCTATAAGTGATGCTGTGGGAAGAAGTAGTATGTAAGCGACTGCAACGTAGGCAACGATGACTGATCGACTGTAGTTTGTACTCTCACAGTCGATACTGTAGTCAGTCTTAAGAAACTTTTGACAGTGGGTTTTCGTTTTGTCCGAACAAAGCAGACGGCAAGTTGGGGGAAGCACACTAGCTGTGTTGGAGCAGGTACTGAGATATGTCACGTACAGGAAGAAAAACAGGTTTCTCAAGATCAGCTCTTTCGTTTGAGAAGATTTCCTTAACTTTTCTTCTTTGGAGGAAGCACTCCGTTCGAGTAGAAGCTTTCGTAAACAATAAATGAGAATCGCAACGATGATGGCTGTGCCATTCATTGCAAGGATTGCAAACAAGCTCTTAAAAGCATTCACCTTTAATTCAGGGAAGATGCAGTGAAGAGGGGCAATCTGAAATACATTAAGCTGTATCATCTCCGAATATTTTCCAATGACAGAAAGAGAATCTGGCCATTTGACGTACGAAAATGTCTGTAACAGTCCATCAGTGACTTGGTAAAAGCCAATGACAATTTTCAGCCTTCCAAGTATCATATCCACTGTGGATCTTCCGTTTTTCTCATTCTCTTGCTTCTTTTTACTTGACCATAGGATAACTAAAATAATGACCAGGATAACTGCCACCACGATCGACAGTTGTCCGATCATCCATTTCTTCGTTGGGCACTTTTTGCACGTTTGAAACTGTTTATAATAGCCATCACTACAAATTTCACACAGCGGTCCTTGATAGCCGTCAGCGCAAGAAGAATTGAAACCACCATTGCAAGCCTCTTGTTGTGGACATTTGTGCGACGTAGGAACAGTGTATGGGAACTCGATGAGGGAAGCATTAGTTGAGGAAGAGTTCCTTGAATCCAAGAGATTACGTGCAAATGATTCATAAAATTGTTTGTGGGTCTGATTCTCCCATTTCCACCAGTAACCCTTCTTCAGCTTAACATGGTCATCCACACACTGTAATCCTTCTTCATCGCATTGTGTGCAGCCTTCAAAAAGATGGGTACGATGAAATCCTTTCAAACAGCTACAAGCTCTAAACCCAGCAAATGTGGAAGTATCTGTGCCTACAAAAAGCAAAAGTCCGTTTGCTGAATTAATTGTATTTCAATCAGGCAAATAATTGGCTTTTTTGCATTTTTTAAAACACACATAAATAAAGTTTTAAAGCTTGCGGGTTTTGACAGTTGTAGGCTTCATTGTCAAATGGGTTTAAATACAACAAAGCTACTTCATAAGAAAGTTTCACCGCCTTAAATTACAAGGACATACGATAATTGACGGCATTGCCATGCCGAGCAAACAATCAAAGTAGAGGCAAAGTCCTAGGGATATGTGTAAATAAATTCTCAATTCAAAACTGATATATATAGTCCTTATGCATGTTTACGTCAAATTTTACCACCAAGGCTCATTTTGAAATTTTGAAAGTTACAGAATTTTGCATATCCAATGAGAGTAGAGAAGAAGTTTGCTTACAAACGATGCTTAGTGGTAAAATTTGCTCGTCTGCCTTAACCAAGCATAAGTGCCATTGCCAAAGCAGAATATCGTTTCTTTCTACCTTTATTTTCTGACCAGTTTTATCTGAACTTCACTGACGTCATCAGAAACTTCGATCAGGGTAACAGGGATAACGCAGTCACTTTTTACATTACATCTTCTAACTATTGTAGGTCGTGAGTTTGATTCTCACCTGGAGCTCGGAAAATTTTTCTGAGCTCTCTGGTGTTTGAATTCTCCTTCTTCTTAAATTCCTAATTACAATCAAACCAGGTCAAGCGTACCACCATAGATTGTAATGATGATTTCATATACAACTTATTAACGGAGAGTGAGGTCATTACAGGGAAATCACGTCAATGAGTTGTACACTTGAGCCCGCGATACAGACATGTGACACTGGTCAGCAGATACCCTTTTTCACAGCTATCAATTGACCATAACATGGATGTCCACTATCAAGTTAAACACAGATTGTATATGCCTTGGACACCCAGCTAATAATGCCCGTTCATTACAAGAAACTTTTGCCAGCTTAGCAGCCAATCATAACACTCGTACTTTTGTAGGCATATGATAATTGACATTTTGAAGTCTTTTGGTGATTCTTATTATTCTTACTAGCATCCAATGAGCAGTAAAATCACCAGCAGATGGTTAAAATTATCTTGTTTTTTTCTTGAGTTTGATAAAGAATTTTATTCAAAAGCTATCAAAGACGATTTCTCTTGATCTGATAGAATGCTGAGAATCTGCAGCGCGAAATTCACTGCCCATTGAGCATGCAAGCATACAGATTTGAATTTGTTACCCCTGCCACTATCAATATAATCTGCGTGGTCTATGTTTGACTGGGTTTGACTATAAAATATCCCTACCTTGTGGACAAGCAATGCACTCACGGGCGCTTTTGCCAGGCGTCTTACTGTATGGAACAAAAGTTCCATTTGGACATCTGAGGCAGCCGTCATTGACAAACGCTATGGTATCCGAATAGAAGCCTCCTATAAGAAAGTGTAACCAGAGTGAAAGTGTCCTTGAAATAAATTTAATTCTGCAGTCCCAAAATATGACCAAAATGGATCTACAGAGCCGACAAAAAGTAGTTAGTTTGGGGTAAAATTGCCAGGTTACAAATACTTGGTTTTTGGTCCGACGTTCCTTTTTAAATTCCATGACCTACGAATAACGTAGAATTCCCTGTAATATGAATGGTTTCTGTGGACGGACTTTACTATTGCATGGCATAAGAAAAAAAAGCTAGCATCTGGTCGTAGTAAGAGTCCAATAAATGTGGCTGGCTGGATACTGGTAAAGTTAGTACCAGTTTTTTGCGTTTTTATGAATCGATACAAAAGAGAGTTTGAGCATCACGTATACGGCAAACGGCAAACGTCAGATTCAAGTTGAGAATTTCTCAAAATAGAAAATGAGCAGATAAAAACAGCTCAAAACAATTCTTATGGATAAAAAATTGCATGAAACTACTAATTTGTGTTGAAATAATGAAAAGTAAACGACAATTAAAGTTGAAGTACTCGGCCCAACGTTGTTCGCCTTGTACACCAATGACCTACCAAGTACTGTTACCTCTGGCTCTGTCTTTATGTATGCGGATGACACCACCGTTTATTGCATTGGGGACACTGTTGATAACACTGTCACTTCTTTAAATAAAGCTTTATCGGAACTGAATAGTTGGTCAAGAGAACTCTTTAACTCCTCACTCGGCAAAGTGCGAAGCTATACTATTGATGAGAAAACCGCACAGCGGGCCGCTAAATTCTGTGACTATTGGAGAGGATCGGAGTGAGAGAAACACACTCATCTTTTGGGTGTTACTATCGATGAAAAAATTTCATGGTCACCTCACCTTACAGATGTGAAAAATAATTTTGTTAACAAACCTCCTGAAAAGGAGCTCGTTCTTGAGCAAAACGCCCTATTGGAAGTGTACTTCAAGATAACATTACTATCAGTCCTGTATGGCCTTGGTTGTTTGGGACGGCTGGCCTAATGGGGACCTTCGCGATCTACATTCCCTGAAAGTACTTGACTGTAAGGCAGCCAGAATAATATACCACTTGCCCCGCGATGTGCCTACTGATGAATATACCGACATTCGAATTGGAATACTTTAACCTTCTATTTTAAAATTATTAATTACAAGTAATGAAAATTATTAATTAATTTAACTGCTCCACAGCGTGTTTATAGGTGTAGCACCTGCGGCTCTGTCATACTTGACAAATATGCCTTGCACTGCGTACAAGTTCAGAAGGAGTAATAACTTAATCGTCCCGCGTTTTAACTCGCAGTTTCTTAAAAACTGTACAGGCCAGTTTCGAGTTTGCTATGACCGCTGAATTAAAGAAGTGAAGACGCATTTTTTACGGGTTTAGCCTCCATCTCAAGTAATATATTCACAAATTCCAGTGAGAAAAAGACCTGTTTATTACTCTGTCTATTGTGTATATTCAAATTTCAAACACTTACTTGTCGGAAGTCCTGAATAGTTTACTTTATATCGAGACTAACCCTGCTTGAATGTGTCGTTAATGTTTGTATTCAGCGGTAATTTTTTTCATTCGAAACACGGCTATTAGCTATAGAGGCGCTATTCTTTGGAAAGCTGTCTCGACTCATTTTACAGGCTAGTTTACTGTTTTTCATCGCAAAGTAAAGAAGGACTATTATTTTAAGGAACTTGATTTTAGCGCACAGTCGGTCCAGTCGCTGCCCAAGCAATACCAAGATTTTAAAAGTTTTTCACTATTTTATGTTTTAAATGCTGTACTCAATTTCATTCGAGGTAACTAATGTAAATTCATTTAACATTGTATCTTTTTAGAATGTTACTGTATAATTTTAGAGTTCTTGTTGTAGCTGTATTTTGTAAGTAATGTTATCCCTATTTTTAATATAGTTGTATATTCATTTGTAATTACTTTTACACGACCCCACAAGCTTTGAGCTTTAAATCCTATCGTGTTTAAATAAAGGATATGTTGTTGTTGTTGGAAAACTTGGTCACGTGGTACAAATTCGCGTTTGCCGTTAGACGTAAACGTGATGCTTATCTTCTCTATTGCTGAAGTCAGTAAAACGCCAGAAAGAAAGAACAAGGCCAGTTAATATCCAGCAATCTTATTGACATTGTTCTCGGGCAATTCAAAGGCAAGTAGACCCTCAGGGCCTGTTTACATGGAGGTGGGGGACCCCAGGTAGGTGAGGTAACCCGGTTAGGTGGGGTAACCCGCCTGACAATATAATCTCTCTGGGGTCCCTCACCTTCATGTAAACAGGCCCTTAAACTGATAACTCAGCTCACAATGTATCACAACAAATTTTGAAAAGAAAAAACTATTAACTGAATAGCTTTCTAGTAGCATTACAACACTGGGTGTCCAAAAGTTCGTTCCTCTAATTTCTTGCGCTGTAACTTTTGATCAACACTTTATTTTTGCATGAAATTTTTAGAAGATGTTTATTACTCTCTCGATTACTTGTATTCAGAAGTTCAGTAACCAGCATGCCTTCTTTGTTTCTTTTTTACAACATTTCGTTAAGAAGTTGCGGCATGGTGTGGGAAACGCGATGTAGCGCCAGTAGAGGTCCAGATGATCCATTTTGAGCTTTTCTTATCACGTCAGTGGTACACAGGAGCCATTGCGACCCCCCAAAATATCATTTTTAGATTAGGCAGCTGTAAAAAAAAACACTAAGGCTTCTTTAGAAATTTGAGACGAGCTGAGCGTTAACGTTGCTTGACGGACTGAGAGAGCTAGTTTTTTGCAAACTTAGGGACAAAACCTTCCCTTTATTTTCATCCAGACTTAGGCTGATAACTATTGTAAGAACTACCTTGATGAGTTCCTCTGTTGTACCTAGCCTTCTTAAAAATTAGTTTTAGCTGCTTTATTCATGACTTTCGTTTTCCTCTTTTTTTCTTGTCTTCAAAACCTTCATTTCTCGATGACCATTTTTTTCCAATTTTTTTGGATTCGGATCAGTTTCCAGGTTTTAGCAATTTCTTTATCTGACAAAGCAGTAGATCGAAGAGTACCTGGTTATGCTTTCACCTAGCTGAGCGTTTTTGTGTTATCTTTCATGATATTCACAAAAAAAGAGGAAGGCGTTCGAGCAATTTGGGCTACAAGATACAAACATTTGTGGATGGAAATATACTAGCGCGCACCCACCATTGGCGCGAAAGTACACAAATCGAAAATTCGAGTCGAAAGATGGAAAAACAAGTATTAAATATTAAATTAGATAAAAAAAACATAATCCAGAATTTTCTTTAAAAGATTTACTCATATTATCAAGTCCAATAGCACTAGCGGATTACAGACTTATACAGCAGAGGAACCGTAACTTCTGGGACACCCTGTAGAAATAAAATAATGTAATTCGCACTCGAATGCTAACAATGCTGCTTGTGATTTGAATTAATCATCACCCATAGGACAAGTACAAGTCTTAATAATAATCATGAAACACAATATGTATTTTACCCGCAGGACATTCGACGCATTCTAGACGACTTGCATTTACAAAAGTACCAAGTGAACATGGTAGTAACTTGTAGCCACCAAGAGTTGTATTCGCAAAACCCGCTCGCTTAAATGACTTGCGTACATAGTAATCCTCAATGTCAAGGTAACTAGAGTTATCTTGGCCCAAGCCGCTAAATTGAAAGATATAAATGTTTCAGTTAAAAAAACGTTTAAGAAATGTAACAAATTAACATTAAGGTCGTTCAAAAGATTAGTACATCGTATTTATCGAACGTGTTTTGTATTATTTGGTGGTTTGCACTAACTGCAATTTTCACTATATGAACTAAAGAAAGAAGACATATCTAGATTGAAACGGCTTGGAAACTAAAATTTCGAGGACGTTTTTGGACTTTTTACATTTAGGGCATGAATTTTTCGTCATTTCAGGCCATGGAACCTAAAAATGAGCCTAGCTAGCTGTAAAAAGGGGCTATACGGAGGCAATATGTCCTAGCCGGCATGATCACATGCTGTTTACGGAAAATTCCCTCATCCATGTCAGGAAATTCTGTATTTTAAAGCCTCCCCTAGGGCATGACTCAGCAATTGAGGACATTTCTGCTATGTTTTCATTGTTGGTTAGCATGCAAGGATTTTTCGCATGCCTATCGTCAATGATTTGCTCACTGGTAATAGAGGGGGTTGCCCCAGAGTGGTTTTGCATTGAAATTGGCATGCAACAGAATTTCGCATGCCCTGTAAGCATAATTTGAGGTTCGTGACCTTCTCACCCAGGCCTCGAGAAGCCTAGGTTCTAGTAATAAGTATAAGTAATTAATACCCAGCAAAATCTCCGGCATGCCGGGCATGCCAAATTTTCTGACATGCCCGGCATGCTAAATTCTCTGGAATGCCGGGCGTGCCATAATCTGGGTCATGCCGGGCATGCCAAAATCGGTCTCGGGCATGCTATCAACGCACAGGTTATAATTCCTTGAATCTACAGATATTTTAAGCCTGGCTAAAAAAAAAAAAAACTAAACAGATCACAGTGCTTATCTTTTGATGTACGGTTACACGATGACGTCATTGCTATCCTTTCATTTTCATAGATTTGGTTGTCCCAGAGAACTTTAAACAACAAAAGCTCTAATTTTCACAGGCAAGTAAAACCCTGAGGGATTCGCCCGTAGTAATAAAACAGCGTCATCGTGGAGATGACCTGTTGGGGGATTGTAAAAACTCCTCACCCCTTTTAATGAGTCTTTAATAGGATTCCCATTTCACATTGCGAATAAAATGGAATTGACTGAAATCAGTAAAAAGAGAGACAGAGACTATTTTCATTGTATAATAAAATGCATCTATGTTCCATGAAAGCTTTTAAAAATACAAGGTTACAGAATATCTTTCAAAGTTCATTACAAACTGAGCTAAGCCCCAAAATCACTGTTCATTATTCAGTAAATTATGATGTTTGACAATGCAATGTGCTTGAATATAAGGTTGCAA